TAGAGGGAGGGAAGATGGACAAGTTTAATTAAATACCTGGAGCCAACCATCCAAAACAACAGACAGCACACAAGAAAGGTGAAGAAGCGAGTGTAGACAGGGTGGAGAGTGCTTGGAGAGGAGTGCCAGGGTGATTTGTGACAGAAGGATAGCAGCAAGAGTGAAAGGGGAGGTTTCCAAGATAGTAGTGAAACCTGCTGTGATGGATGGTTTGGAGACTGTGGCACTAATGAAAAGACAGGAGGCCAAGCTGGAGGTGTTGAGATTTTTGTGGGGAGTGGCCAGAATGGACCGTATTAGAAATGAGTCCATCAGAAGGACAGCTCAGGTTAAGCTGTTTGGAGGCAAAGTTCAAGAGACGAGATGGAGATATTATGGACATGTGCAGAGGAAGGAAAGGCAGGAGAGAAAGAGGAAGACAACAGAGAAGATTCATGTATAAAGTGAAAGAGGAGGGTCAGTGTGAGCAGTGTGAGCAGGGAACAGGGTGAGACAGAGGTAAATGATCCACTTTGGAACCCCCTAAAAGAACCAACCTGTTCTTCTAAATGTTTGTAAACATTATAAATTGAACTAAATGTTTAGATTAAATGCTCAGTTGAATATTTTGAAAATATTCTCTGTAACAGTAATATTAAGAATAGAGATGTGATAATATAACATAGATTACCTCATTGCCTAATGCAAACAAATGCCACTGGATCTTGTTGCCTTGGCACATGCTCAGTCCACGAAGATTACCATACAGCAAACCATTAATACCTGTAATACATAGCGAGGGTAAAATGGTGCAGGGATGCAAATGCAAGCTTGTAAGTGTGCATGCTGGTGATATGCTAATTGTTAGCATGATGTGTTAATTGGGATAAATAAAGTCTTTCTGATTCTGATGCTTCCTCTCACCATGCATCTTGTTGCTCTCAATGAAGTCTTCGTCCTCCTTCAGGTTTCTGGCAGGATTTGTGATGTATGTCCTGATGTTTTCATCCAGGTACCAGCTGAAGTTCTCATCTGACACCATGAACAGCAGAGCATACTGGTAGTCTGCTGAACTATCGCCATGTAAGTCCAGAGTTCCTGCAGAGGAGAGGACATTTAGAAAGACAGGCAGTGCTTTCCAAAAAAAAAAGAAAAGGGGGATGAAAAATAGATATAAATATAAAAATACACGTTTTTAAAAACTGTCTATTGTGTTCTATTATGAATCTATAATGTAAACATAGTTACATAATGTTAACAAGAGTAAAAGGTAGAATGTTTGGCTCTGAAAGACACTGGACTATAAATAAAATATATTAAAGTTGTACTTAAGTAAATTTAGTGGAGTAAATGTACCTCTCTTACAGACGATGAGGGGCCCTATCAGCCCTGAGTTGATGTCTTTTGGCGGGCTGACGTGGGAATGGTAGAATCTGGTCATGCAGTTGCTGTCATGTGATGTTGGGCCGTGGGATTCTGCGAGGGTCCACTCATAGGTCACTGTTTGACCAGGAGGTACCGAATCATCTCGCTTCAGCTCTGGACCCGTGCCATCTGGGTAGAGTGCTCCTGAGGAGTGAACCCACAAACACAGTCACAGTCACACGCATGTGTTAACCTTTCCACTCCACTCTAGTAGTACGTCCGTTTGTGCATTTCTCACCCTCGTTGCCTTTAGTATAGTTCAGACCATGTGGGTGGGCGCTGTAAGGTCTGGACGCTGTGTTCTTCAGGTGGACAATCAGTGTATCGCCCTCCTCAGCCATCAACAGAGGTCCGAGGTAACCCAGCCATTCTGCTTTTGTCAACTCCGTCCTGTAGGTGGCGTCGCTGTACTGCTTATAAACAGCCTTCTTGTAGGTTGAGCCGATACGCTGCGGACCGCTCTTTAAAAAGACGGAGGCTTCTCTGTTGAGGGGTTCAGGCAGAGATGCATGAGAGTGGTTTTGTGTATGTGTCCTTCTGTAAGTTAAAACACGTAAAGCTTCTAGAGAGACTGAGTGTCTCTAACACTCTTTTTTCCACAAATGACATCATGGGTCAGATTTACTAAAAGGTTAAGGTCCCAATGGCAAAAATGCGCAGGATCTTTCTTCCTGAAATAGCACCGCAAATGAGATAAGAGAGGGGAAGCTGGAAAAGAATCTATATGTTTGATATATGCTTATGCTTTGATATATATGAATAAAATAAAATATATGAGACTGGAGCGCGATTTATCCAAGAGAAAGGCTGCACTTTGGCGAACACTTCCCAAATACACCGAAATCTGTAATAAGATATATGATGTGTAGAAGAACATAAAACATAAAACACAATTGAGTGCTAATGATGATACTGTTAGTAAGTGCTCAACTGCGTGACAGTGCGCATCGAGTAAGGAGACCGTTCTCACTCCCACAGCGTAACGTACCAACGCGTCGGGAATGACAACGTGTTGAGTAACACCGTTTCGCGCGCTGTGTGAGACTGTGCGTAGAGATGCACATGAAAAGCCTGCTATGTAGGCTATTGCAAGATGTAGACATTAATCTTTGGGGTCCTATGGACTAGAAAAGCGCTATACAAATGCAGGCCATTTACCATTTAATCCAACACACTCATACATTCCCCGACAGACATTTCAATATGTGATATAACAGCGGTGACATAAAGAAGTAAAGAAAGACAGAAAAAAATACAGAGTGACTGTCGAGGAAAGACATGCAGAGACGTTTTATTGGGTAAAAATGTCAGACTTCAAACTTATCAGCTCACTATAAAAAGTAACTTGGCTAACAGTAAAACAACGTATACACAACTCTTTTGTATACGTGTGACGTTCAGATCAGCTCGATTCTCATCATTTCGTAACAAGCCCAGTAGGTTTTCATAGAGGAGCACAACTGAGATTCTGCTACAGGAATAAGAAAGGGTTACGGGACAGATTAAAAATTTTCACACTGCTCTAACAGCTCCAAGCCTTCCTCTCGCTCCAAATGAATAACACTTAATGAATCAATTTTGCATGATTCGTTTAAATATTAAATAAAGAAAAACTCCTACAAATACACGTGCAAAAGGCCAGCTGCAAAAGCACCGGGCAAAGTTTACGCTCCACCTCTATAATAAATAATAAGTAGTTTTTTATCACCAAAAACTGATTTTATGCTGATAAGTCTGGTCCTGTGACTACAAGATGAAGCACGTGTACCAACACTGTGATGGTACACGTAAATAACCAATAACCCATGACAGTGATTCAGCATGAGCAACACCAGGATACCAAATTATCCAAGAAGTACATTTATAAATATATAGTTGCCATTTTTTCATCACAGTGTCTTCATATTAACTTATATATTGTCATATGCAGTGCAATAGGCTATAACTGTGTTCTTATATTAGTATCTGCTGCCCATATGTGATCATTCCTGTTTGTCAATTGCTGTTGAAGCAAATATTAACATGTCGTGTTGGGGGGGGGTTAATTGTACCCATTTTGATTCTTTATTTCATATTGATTTATGACTCTGTGATAAAATGGAAAATGTATCGTGCGCACTTACTCATCGTCCTGGATTGAGCGGTTTTGGATGATGTTCATCCCAGTTGGAGCATAGTTCCACGACACCTCTTCTATCTTTAGAAAGTACTCTCGTCTCATCCCGGAAACACATGTTACCACACAAAACAACAGCAAAACAGCCCTTAAATCCAGCCTCAGCATTTTTGTCCAAAATAAAAGCTCACAGTGGTGATAATGATAATGATGACTCTTGGTTTTATTTGAATTATTATTAATACTCTCGCAGAACTTGAAGATAAAGACCCACGGCGCAGAGAATTAAAAGTCTTGGATGTTTGTCAACCAGTGTGTCTCAGCGACGTTTAAAGCTCTGTGTCTTTATACTGCGTCAGATGACTCGCAGGCTGAGGTCAGCCAAGCAGGACCGAGGGGTCACTGACCATCAGACTGCCAGGTGTTCGATCAGCAGGCGAGACTTGCATAAGAACACAAACAGTTTTGTTCTCGTAAATCCAAACACCAAGAGATTAGTCTTAACCTTCATCATTTACTCCCTTGTAGATTTTCACTACAGCTCAAAATAAAGTTTTTAAAAATCAACATCGTTCGTTTAAGAATCCAAAGATTCTTATCTGTGTCAAATCGGAGTTTTTTTCTGTTCAGCAAAAAAGTCCAGTGACGTTATATTTAGCCAATTACGTAAAAGTGGACTTTTGAGTAAATGTTTGATTTTAAATGCAAGGGGTTAAATGTTGAAAACGACCTTGTGTCACAACCAGATTCATCTCACTGAGCCAATAAAGATGTCTCTGTGTTTGGGTTCATTACTTGTGCGTTTACTTTGCTAAAAGTCAGTTTATGATAATTAATTAATACTATTCCTAATTTATCTTTGTGTAAAGGTTCTCAGAACAAGGAGAAAACGGTCGCTGTGCACACAGTTTAGGGAGGGGACACTGCTAAAAAAAAATGAGCACCAATTTGCATGGCTCTCAGGGTTAAAGGCAACAGTTACTCAATCTGATAAATATCAGTATCAGTCAACTCTGGAAACTCTAGTACTCAGTACTCACTAGTATTGATTACAACACACCACAGGAGCTGCACACAAAAAAATCCACATTTTGACCTCAAAGGACATGATTGCATTTGCGTCTGGGATATTTCCCCTCTACAGAAGCAACAGTTTGATTTTTTGTTTTGTTTTTAAATAATAAAAAAAACTCTGGATCCATACATATAAAACAGAAATTGTTCGTTTTTATTCAAGGCAGCACAAACAAACCATACATTATAAAAATATGCCACTAAAATATATATGTGTGTGTGTGTGTGTGTATATATGTGTGTGTGTGTGTGTGTGTGTGTGTGTGTGTGTGTGTATAGGAATATAGGAATATGATGTATTCCTGAGTATCC